AGAGTCAGACTCATCAGCAGATATATGAAAGCACCAGACTAGTCTCACTTGAATACAGCCAAGAGAATTCTTCGCTATCTTAAAAGAACAATAAATAAAGGTATGTTTTATACCTCAAGTGAAAACTTCAATCTTATTGACTACTCAAATAGTGATTGGGGTAGAGATCTGGATAAAAGGAAAAGCACAACTGGATTTGTCTTTTTCATGAGAGATACATCTTTCACATGGTCATCCAAAAAGCAATCAATAGTAACGTTATCAAGCTGTGAAGCTAAATATGTTGCTACCAACTCAGTTGTATGCCATCTAATATGGTTAAGGAATATGCTGAAATTTTTGGGATTTCCTTAAGAAAGTCCTATAAAGATTTATATTGATAATCGATCAGTGATTGCATTAGCCAAGAATCTAGTGTATCATGAAAGAAGTAAACACATCGATACATGTTATTATTTTATCTGAGAGCATGTGAAGAACAAAGAAGTTGAACTGATATCTTGCAAAACAAATGATCAAGTTACAGATATCTTTACAAAGCCATTGAAGAGAGAAATATTTATCAGACTGAAGTTCATGCTTGGTATGACATCCCTCAATTGAGTTTAAATGGAAGATTTGTTGTGGTAAACTCAATCAACCACCACCTGCAGCCACCTACTATCAACCACCATCATTAGCTGCCTCTCAATTTATATATAAATAAGCTATTAAATTTGTGTTATTGAGTGTGGGAAAGAGTCGAGAAAAACACAAAAGAAAGAGATGGTGTATATTAAAATTGTAAGTTTTGTAATTTGTAAACTTTTATTTTGTAATAAAACCGTGTTTTATCATCTCTGAATATTCTAAAGTCATCAGTAGTGGTTTCTCCCACCAATATTGATTGCTTCCAGCAAGTTACTATAGCAATAGCTGAATGCTCTTGCCTCACTAAGGATGTAACTTTTGGAAGATGACATGAGTCGAATAGCAGAATATTTAAGGGAGTGGTTTAGCTCATCATCAACATCATCAGCAGAAAGCGCTTTAGAATGGCAGAAAAGACTTCTACTTTCAGCTTATAGAAATCATTTTCTTTTAATCTGAACTGAAATCACAGACATTAAAAACTAAGAGGCAGAGGATTGACAAGTCAATACAAATATACAAGCAAGACATTGCCTCAACAAGGATTTATTGAAATTTGAATAGATAACATAGTTCAAAATGCTTCTGTCAACGAAATTTAAACTCAAAAAATCAAACTGGGATTTCTAAATTCCACACATCAGAAAATTAGTTCATAACAAGTAACAATTCCTTCAACCTCTGACTCCGTTCTGCTACCCACTTCTCCTCTAAGGGAATAGTAGCGGGTACTAAAATGATTCGCCTGTCGGAAATACTAGCACGTTTTAAGCGTTTCGATTGAACGGGGCCGATCTCACATTTCTATCCTTGAACGAAACAAGACTCTCCTTATAAACATAAATTCCCTCGCACGAACTAAACCTCCGAAAGTCAAGATCCCTTATTTCTTAAGTACTAAGCTCACATAAGATTAGTTTGCCATACTCGGGTTCTAAACTGACCTTATTCCTCTTCCAACGATCACCGCTCACATTCTGAACTCCAGGAAGAGGCCCCATGGTGAATATTTTTGGTCCCACACCGTTCATTCAATGTCCATATATCAAGATACTTCTCAATCTCGTGAACATTAAAGAAAGCAATGGAGTCATCATATAATACAAGTCTACCAGAAGCTGGCTCGCAATAATCTGGTGCTTTATCTCTTGGAACAACATCGTTATCCAGGTCAAATGCAAGGAGCGCTTTAAAATTCCCAAACTTTGTATGCGATCCTGCCCATTAAAAAACTCCATTCACCCAATACTGTTCTGCAAGCAATGATCATGCGCCAAATGTCCACAATATCTCCATGAATTAGTCCTTAAGGAATACACAACAATTAAGGAAGGAAAGTATCGGGTATCCCTTGCTTCATCGCCGTAATACTGAATAACAACTTCCTTGTGATCTTTAGCTACTGGATCTGATCTGTAACCAAAAATAAGAAAAAGAATAAAATAAAAATTTATAAAATATTGGAGGATGGAAAAAAAATCTTGAAAGACAAATTTGTATCAAGTTAATTTTTTAAATTTATAATCGTTAAATTTTAAAAATAAACTCAATCAAAAAACTATATACTTAACTAATTAAAATATTAAGAATAAAATAGTTAAAAACAATCAAAAAGTAAAAGATAGCAATAATAAAAAAAGATAAAATAGTTAAAAAAATCATAAAGTAAAAAGATAGTAATAATAAAAAAATAATTAGATTTGATAAGAAAAAAAAAACAGCAAGAAAGATGAAAATGTTTTATTTTATATTTTTTATATTTAAAAACTTCAAATCTTCATGTTTTGTAATTTTAACAATAAATTTGTATGATGAGATTGGTTTTTTTAAAAAAAAACCGGTGTGGTGGTCGAATTCCTATTGCCATTGCTGGGAATATATATGTTGCTATTTTTTGCATTTAAAAAAAAAAAGAAATTGACGGACAAAATAATAATTGACTTTGAAGATCAATTCAGGAAATAAATTTATGCTACAAGACACATATAGGACGAAACATCTTGACCGTTGACAATATTTTGTTCACGGGTTGAGTATAGAGAGGCAAAGGTTGCATAACGCAAGTGCATTCAGTCATGAAGTTATGAAAAAACTTCACATGTAAATCAATCTTTTCATTGTTTGCGAAACTGAGTCAATGCGTGAGCCGAGCTTCATGTTTAGACCTGTGTATGAACTTGAGTATTTTTGAAAAAAGAAAAGAAATCTTTCATGGAATGAGAAATTCTTTAATATTTAAGTTAATAAATTTACGAGAGAAGTAATATAAGATGAAAATGAGAGTAAGTATAATGTAGAAGAAATGGTGAGTCTAGTAATGTAAGAGAAAGTCTTGCACAAAATTGACGGAAAATATCAGAAATGTTGAGTAGAAACTTGTGACATAAGAAGCTTTTTTTTGTTTATTTGTCTGGTGTTTTAAAATATTTATATATCTTGATTATATTGACTCACCTCAAACATGATGAGAAGTGTTATGATTAATTAATGAAAATGTTAATACTCACTGTTGGTTAGTGTCTAACATTATTATTAGTTGAAAAATTGGTAAGAGTTCTTGATACATCTGGCAAGAAATAATCGTTGGCAAGAAAATGAAGCCTCTACTTTGCATAAAACATTGTGCGAATTTGCACTATAATTATTGAAGAAAAATATGTGCTTGTTGTTTTTTTTAAAAAAAAAAAGAAAGAAAAGAAGCATAAAATCTCAGGTGTACAGAGGCAATAAAGGAAATATAGAGGAATGATCATGGAGGATGACAGGGAGGTTTGACTATGAGTCAGTGAGTTCTTGATGACAAGTAAAAGTGGGAGGGAATCAGGTAAAGATGGAGGTGGTGGAGATGTTTAGCATGCGTGAGGTTGTGATGCTTGGTAATGGGTGGTGACAGGCGTGGTTCCCTTACAGTAAATTGATTTCCTCCAGGTCAAAAACATGGAAATACTGAAAAGAAAATACTAGGTGACAGGCACGGGGATGACTGTGATTTCCAGAACATTAATTTGAAGGCAGATTTTGCATTTATCAGGGTGATATTGTGCTGATTAGTCATGGGGATTGAGCAGGAGTCGAGTCGAGTCCAGTCGAGTCGATCTGAACAAAGCTAGAAAGGGAAATGTTGCGGCGATTAGCATTAAGTTTTGCCTCCAATAATTCACAAGTTGCTGATGTGCCTCCACTCCTGCCAACCCTCAAAAGCAATGCCTTGCAGTGACATGCACTTCCGACGGTGCATATGCAGTCAATGCGTTAATGGTCCCTGGTGATTTTCCCAAGTAATAGGAACCAGGTCAGTGTTGCTATCATACATAACTTGTCAAAAAGCTATAATTCCACAGCCACTTTTAGCCCAAACCTCTTGTGATAGTGGCTCTTTCATTAAAGGTACACTCTCCTATTAGCTCTCTCCCCCTCTCTTACTAAACAATTTCTTGCACTAGATAGGCAGGCTCCATGCGAACCGTGAATAATTGCTGGTGCTATAGGAAGACATAAAAAGGCGGGAATGGCAATCCTCCACTTACATATGCTACTACTTGCATGCGTGGGTAGTCAGATGGTGTTTGTTCGTGCATTTAACCAAGTGATGAGATGGCTGATCCTCGATATTTTAAATCAGAATTTATAATGTGATCCTTTTCAACATATATATACATATATATACATATATACATATTAATGCATCAATACCTTAATTCATAATGCACGAAATCATGGAATGTGTACCTAAGTGATTTTGCCAAGAGAGGAGTTGTTTGGGAATGTGTTTGTATCTGTATTTTTAAAAAAATTTAAATTTTTTAATTTAATATTATTTTTTAATATTTTTGGATATTTTTATTATGTTAATATAAAAAATAATTTTTTAAAAAATATAATTTTAAAGTATTTATAAACAAAAAATATTTAAAAATCAATCTCAAAAACCTTATTAGCCATCACTACTAGTGATGATAATTTACCCAATTTAATTTCACCATTAATTTCATCCCAAATGATTTTGCCTGCCGAATTTGATCACCACTTGCTTAGTATTGATGAAATTTGATGAAAGTAGATGCTTGGTACGTAGTGGCTGGCAAAAACAATCTGGGATCCATCATTCTGCTTATTCTCTGTTTTGTGTTAGTTTTTTTCCTTTTCTTTTAATGACATTGTTTTTTTCTAGGAAAATATTTGTGCCTAAACTATTCCCCAATTAATCACCAAATAAATTGGGGATTTAATATATACCAGTCAACATTTAATCCATTAAAACCAATGAATCCTTACAAAGTGTCCCAAATTCAAGTTCCAACCTTTGTCAATTAATATATATTGGAACAAAAAGAAAAGAAAAACACCGGAAGCACAACTACTTGTCTTCTCAAGTTACTATATAAAACTCCAACTTTTTCTATCTGATCTGTATCCAAATTCTGCCTATATAAGTGTGTTTTGCTTGTAACCTGCAAGTCAAGTAACTATCAAAGATACCACTAAGAGGGGTGAAAAATCTACTGAAAATATTTTTCACTGAGTAGGCTTAGAGTTTCTAGTTTTAATGGAAGAAGCTCCGGAGCATGGAAAGTTTGCGGTGAACTTCACAGAAAAAAGTGTTGTCAAGGCCGCGAATCCCTTGCCAAAGCCACAAAGACTCACTCTATCAAATCTTGACCTTCTTTCTGGCCGATTTCCTGTCACATACTTCTATTTCTACCATAATCCTGAAAAGGTTTGCTTTTCCTCCATCATGGAGTCCCTAAAGAGTTCCCTTGCTGAGACTCTTAGTTACTACTACCCATTTGCCGGTCAAATAGTACAAAATCCAAGTACTAATGAGCCTGAGATTATATGTGACGATAATGGTGCTTTGGTTGTAGAAGGTCATGCCAACATTTCTCTGAAGAAACTAGACTTCTACAACCTTGATCAATTTTTGCAAGGGAAACTCGTTTCTCTCAACACTGGGTTTCCTTTACAAGTTCAAGTCACCCGTTACTCATGTGGAGGCATCTCAATAACATTCACCTTTGATCATGCACTCGGCGATGCAAGTGCCTTTGGTAAATTCTTGGTTTCATGGTCAGAAATCGCTCAAAGAAAGCCAATATCTTGCACGCCAGATCACAGGAGAAACCTTCTAGCACGCTGTCCTCCAACTTATCATCCTTCTTTGGATCAAACTTTCGTAAAGTGCACCATAGAAGAAATAATAAACATCCCCACAACCCGGATCTTGCTCAAGCGCCTATATCATATTGATGTCTCCAGCATCAATAGGCTGCAACAACTTGCTTGTGCCAGCGGTAATAAGAGAACTAAAATTGAGGCCTTCTCAGCCTATGTATGGAAGATAATGGTTACAGCCATTGATGAAAGGCATCAAAAGTGCAAGATGGGATGGTTAGTCGATGGACGTGGTAGAGTTCATGGAGCCGAGGATTTAATGTCAAATTACATAGGGAATGTATTATCCGTTGCTGTTGCAGAAGCAACTATTGCAGAACTGAAGCAAGGGTCTATATCAGATGTTGCTAGCAATGTTCATGATTCCATATCAAAGGTGACTAATGAGGCACATTTCTTGGATTTGATAGATTGGATCGAGTGTCACAGACCTGGTCTGATGCTATCTAGCATTGTATTAGGCCGAGGAGGTCCAGCCCTTGTTTTGTCATCAGGGAGGAGGTTTCCAGTTGCTGAATTGGACTTCGGATTCGGTGGTCCAGTGTTGGGCACGGTTTGTACAACGGTAGAAAAAATTGGAGTTGGCTACATGAACCAAAGGCCTAGCGCCAGAAACGACGGCTCATGGACTGTTTCAGCTATCCTGTGGCCAGAACTAGCTGCTGCCTTGGAGTCGGACTCGATTTTTCTACCTATGTCAGCGAGCCTTCTTCGACTATGATGTTATTCTATGCATCTCTAGGCGCCTGTTGGCTTACTCTATGCTTGGTGCTTGGCATTGTTTCAAGCACTAAACGGAACCCTGCTCTCGCCTAGAAATTAAGGGTAGGCTACCATTGAACTAGCTGCCATGTTGTGCAGTATAGAGACCTTTCTACGCATGGAAAATCTTATTTCAATTATTGAGAAAATGGGCTAAAACAGAAGGGCATGGGCCCACTTAATTATATAATATCACTGTGAATAAAAAAAGCATCAGGAAGCAAGCATTGAATCCCTCTCGTATATAATTGGTGCTTTTCAGGCAGGATAAAATAAGTGGGCTTATGTGTGAACCACTACATGGACCAAGTTGCCTTCCCAAACCCGAATATCAAAGCAAGAATACAATATATCTTGAAGAGTTTCAGAAACAGAACCTTGGAGCTAAAAATGCTGTCGAGGGCAAGACATGAAAGAAAGCATCCATGATGAACGGATAGTATTGTTCCAGTCTCTCGCGAAGCTTTAACACCTCCCATTGTCTGCACAAAAATCACGCAATCAATCTTTAATAGGTATCGAGAATAATCAAATATCTCCGAAGGATCAATATAATTCATCAGGATTCTTTTTTTTTTTTTTAAAGAGTCAATGAAATTAAAGATGTTCCGTAACTAAAATATTATTTAGTATTTAAAATAATGGTTAATTAAAATATTCAAATGTTTAAAAAAAAATTTCTTAATATAAAAAACTCTATATTTATACTTATAATACAAGTTTCAATACTTGCAAAAATAATTTCAATCGATGGTTTAAAAATTTTCTAATGATAAAATCAATATATTTATTGTATCATTACTTGCAAAGCATGTTTATAATCTCAATTGCATCTCTAATTTAGTATTGCATGTATTTGTGCAAAGTTTTACAGTGTCTAACCTGGAGTCTACAGAACTTTCGTTAGCAATACTTTTAGAACCATTTAAGAGTAATTAGAGTAATTATAAGTCATGCAAACCCGGATGAACAACATTTCTAATAGAATAAAGCCCCTAAAGATTCCTAAAATAAAGCATTATAATGTCGGTAAGAATTAAAACAATAATCATTATAGATATGTTCACCAAGAGCACAATCAATATATTTTGAATATACAAATTTCTTTTTACTAAGGATTGTAAGATTCGATGAATCATAGTTTATGAGCAAATAACTTGCTTAAAATTATATTTGGATAACTACAAAGATATTGCATCAACTTGATCCTAATCTTTTAGAGTATTATTAGAGCCATTAAAGCTATATTTGACAAGGTTGAGTTCTTTCAACCTTAAGAAAATTAAAATTGACGAGGATACCAGATCTAAAATCTAAATAATGTACACTGAAATAGGCAACAAATGATAGCCTAACTCGTCATTCTTTGACTAAAATAGCAGGCTTGGGCTTATGTGATTGTGCTTCATTTGATTTAATTATTGGATTTCATGTAATTTTAATGGGCCTTTGGTCTAATTGTGATTGTGTTATGTTTTACTATTTATAAGTGTTTCTTTCACATTATAAAAACTTATATATGAATTAAAGTAAAATTACAGAGTTGTCATTCTCCTCTCATTCTCCATTCTCTCTTCCCCTCTTCCTCTGGCCAGCTTCTTCTTATTCCCTGTCTTCCCTAGCTTTTCTTTCTTATTTCTTCTCCTTTTCTTTTCCCTTTATCCTCTTCTTCTCAAGTCTCCTTTTGTCCCGCTTCACACAACCATTTAATAATCAAAACAAACCTTGGTTTATTGGTAAACCTACTGGTATCATCTCCTCTACAACACTCTCAGCAAATCCCATTTTATCACCCTTGCAAAAACCTTGCATAAGCGAATTCAAAGCAGCTACTGAATTGGGAAATATCCCCTTCAAACTTACAAGTCTCAGATACAAAATGAAAAAAGAAAAAAAATTAAAGCTGTTTATGGATTCACATTTGATTTAACAACTATCAAACTCTTGAGGAGACAAATGGAGCACTAATTCTTTACATTTAGCACAATTTAAGATGGGTTAGAAAGAATAGCAGATAACTTAATGAGTAAAATCTGATTTAAAGTTGTCGATTTGTCTGTGGCTGCAATACTGGATGTGGAGGAGAAGGAGGGTCTCGTTGGTGCATTTGGTTCTGTTTTTTAAGCGTGGCTGCGACACAAGTTAAAATGCGTTTAATTGGTGTGTAAATAAAGATAGTGTTGGTAATTGTTAGCTTTCTCATATCCATCAAAGATCGCATTCACAGAGCAAACAGACGAAACTTTTTTTGTGGGGGTTTAACGTGTGTGATCGTGTGTTGGCAATAGTTTAAGAATGGTGGACAAGAAGAGGCTATGATGTTCTTTCTGGTGAAGTTTAAGAGAGGATGTGGAAGAGAAAGAGACAGGACAGTTCATGTATATATAAACGAGCGTTTGGTGTTTAATGTTTCAGGAGAATTTGATTGACTGTAATGGTGACCCAAGCGACCCCGCCAGCCAGGGAAGCTGAAGGGCTGCCTTGAGAGGAAGAGAGGGTGGAGAAGAGAGATGGAGTTTCTTGGGCAACTGGCCTGAAGAGAATTGGAATACCAATTGGGCTTATAGAATACCAAGATCTGAATTGGGTTATTCTCAGATTGAAGTGGACTGGTTTTGGAGTTTGATTACAAGGTTTTTGGCAAATCTAACATTTTCTAACATTTGACAAATATTGAGGGATACATGCATCAAAACCTAAGTTTATGATATTTTATAGCAGATTCCATTCGTGTTTTTCTAATTCTAATGTTTAAAATATTTTTATATTATCTTTCATTTAATGAATAAAAAGAAGAAGATTTTAAATAGGTCATATGTGCCTAAATAGATGTAATCACAAGATCTTTCTTTCAATAGGTCACTCCTTAAAAATTAAATTTTACATGATAATATGGATAACAAATTAATTAATTTACCATCCAAATTAAGGTTCAATTATATACTTTTTTTTTTTTTTTACTTTTTAGGATCCAGTTAAAAATAGCATTGTTTATTAAATTGGGTTGTTTTTTTGGATCGAGGGCTGGCCTGCCAAAATTCATTTTAAAAAGGGTTTAGGTCCTGTTTGGTATTATAATAGAAATAACTTTAAAGTGTTTTTTATTTAATAATATATTAAAATAATTTTTTATTTTTTAAAATTTATTTTTAATATTAACATATTAATATAATTAAAAAAAATTTAAAAAAAACACATGATAGAATTACATAAACAAACATTGCCTTCACATATAATCGAGAATATTAGCTAAGTTTATATATAAAGAGAGTGGGGTATGTATTTTCGCGTGTTGCTACGGCGTAGAAAAATTGTTAAATACAATGGATTATATACAAAAATAAAAATAAATAACTCTTTTGTTTTCATTTCTAATAAATAACTCTTTTATTTTCATTTCTTGGGTTAGTGCTCAAGGTTTTGGTGATATTTAAAAATATAATAATTATTATTTTTTAAATATTTTTTATTTAAAAATATATTAAAATAATATTTTTTATTTAAAAAAATTATTTTTAATACCCACACATCAAAATAATTTATAAAAATATAAAAATTAATTTAAAATATAAAAATAAATAAAAACAAGTTACCGTGACGACGAGAAAGGGGGTCGAATAAGGAATCGAAGGTATAGTGCAAATTAAATGCTTGATCAATTGTTACACCATAGATTCTTCCAGATGACAGCATAACAGGCCCTCAGCTCTTTGTCACTTTCTCTGTAGTTGATTTATACGTGTCCTGTGTGTGATCAACATGGACCACGATATGGTAAGTGTCACCTGCCAAAAATTAATATTTTTCTTAAGAATATAAATAAAAATTATCTTAGTAACTGTTTTTATATACTAAAATCAAGATTTTTTACTGCTCGTATCTTAAAATAATTGTTAATATTTATATCCATGTATTTATAAAGAAACATAAAACTATTTTCTTGCCATACCTATGGAAGGGATACCTATTGTTGTTAATATCTATTATTTTAATATGAAAATATAAAAATATTATTTTAATATATTTTTAATTAAAATATATATTTTTTAAAAAATTATGTAATGCCATATAAAAATTTATTTAATATTGTGGGGATGGTTATTTTTTAAAATAAATTTTATTTAGAAGTAATATTTTAAAAAAAATTAACATATTAAAAATACTAAAAAAAATAATTTTGAAAAACAATTAAATTCTTAGAAAGGGAATTTCAAGCAGAAAAGGGAAACCGGGGCCACCACAAAAGAGAGGAGCTTTCAACAAAAGCAGTGGACGCCGGTAGTTTGGAGGAGATATATCTTTTACAGTCACATAACCGGGATGCGATGGGATTTGGCCACGCCATTCATCTCCTTCAAGAATCAACCAGAAAGTCGAAGGCGAAACGTCACTTCGTTAATCAATTCAGCAAACGACGGGCCAAAAACAAGAAAACGCATGAAGCCAGCGTCTCATACGAGAAACATGCAGAGGCTCCCTTCACAAGCACTGGGTATTGATGCTCTCTATATTCCCTGAGAACTGCGTGTAGCTGGTGTCAAGCTAACGTATTCTTATATCCTGGTAAAATATTGGGTATAAAAAAAAAACAAAAAAAAAACTATATATTTTCACTCTTATTTTCTTTGTGTATTGACATCTTGGGTTATGTAATGGAAATTAATAATCCCTCCATTTTTTATTATTATAACTACATATATATATATATATATATATATATATATAAAAAAAAAACCCCAGTTATTGGATCTTCAGCCTTGATTCATTGAAAAAACCACCCTGGAAAATTTGCTCACGATATTAACCACTCTACAAATATAACTATTTCCAAGAGGAATGATTGTGTATGCTTTTCAATGAATTTACTTCACATAAAATGATTGCTCGAATTGATATTCCAATCTATACTCTTATAGAATACGCAGACCCAGCTTGCAGTAGTTGGAGAGTGTTGTGATGGATGAGCTTGGATATTTATTGCCAACAGATTAGGAAAAAACATCATTGGAAAGTATCTGGCTAGGGTTTTTTTCTCATTGAAATTTTTTGTCAACAATAAAATCAGATTTCACAGTCTATATTCCATTGAAAACTTCATATGCACATAAGTTGCAGATAACCGATTCTGTCGTAAAGTCCTTAACATTCTATAAGTTTTGTCAAAAGTTATATAATAGGTTCCAAGATTCTAGAGGGATTGCCAATAAAATGCCGACGAAATAACTTTTCCATAATTGATTCCATTAATGTTTTCTCTGTATTTATTTTTTAAGCTAACAATTCTTACACTAAGCACAACAACAATAATAAGCATCTTCAAGCTAATAATTTATCACAATAAACTCATAATCACAATATATAAAATAA